ACACACACACACACACACACACACACACACACACACACACACACACACACACACACACACACTGTTGGATGCCGGGATGACGATGGCTTAATAAGCATTCACACCGGTTAATGAGAGTGTGGGTGATGGAGACAATAAGTAGATGAGAAAAGAAACGAGGCATAAAGGAAAGAGAGGAGAGGTATTGTGACGAGGAGGGCTCTGTGAGCAGATTGTCCTGGCAGCATGCAGGGGGAAAGGGAYGGAGAGAGGGATAAACAAACATCAGAAAGAGGAAAGAGGCCACATGGAGAAGAGAAAGCAGCAGGGAAAACAGTGAAAAGCAACAATTTAAAAAAAAGCTGAAGGAGGCAGGAGAGAGAAAAAAATTGAAGGCAAAACAGACGGACTGATACAACGTCGCTGCAGGGAGGAGAAGGATTCGAGGAGGGAGCGAGAGAGAAAAGCAAAGGCAGAGCAAACTCCTGAGGAAGTTGAGGAAAAACGCAAGATAAAAACTTCTCTGGAGATTCTTCCTTGAACAGGTGAGAGACAGAAAGTACTCAAAACCAACACGGTGAAGAAAACCACAACCAAAAGAGGACAAAACGAGATGGAAGTATTTTCTTCCAGACTAGGGAARGTACTCTTCAAATATTCCAAACGCACACAGCTTCTCTGTCAGCAGAGTGAATCCTGGGTAAAGATATTCACAGCGCAGAAACAACGTACACATTTACTGCCTCACAGGGGGTAACAGCACCAGAATTACAAACAAGACCCCAAAGAAGCGCGTGCTCTCGACCCCATTATGTTGCTGCAGGGCCATTTTGGATGGGGGGGGGGGGGGGGTGATAATAAAAGCTTGTTTTTATTTGCAGAAAGTGTCGACTTTTACACATTTGCACAGTGTGATTGCTTCTCAACACATTTACGCCTTGTCTGTTTAACACCCTTGGGGAAGGTGTTTGGACTCGTAGAGGAGGGTAGAAAAAAAGGCTTATTCAAAAGATCAGACTGGCCATATGCGCTCACTTGGAAAACATCCTGGATGGTCTCATTTGGACTGAAAGCTGATAACAGCCTGCCTCAAGACATAAGCTTAAATGACTGCACACTGGGAGAGAAGGGGGGGCTCTGTTATCCTGCTGTGTCCTACCTTCACTCTCTGATTCAAGCAGTTGAAATGTGTTTTTATATATGTATAAATTAAGTTTCTTATAAATGAAAAATGAGCAACAAGGCGATGAGGCATTTCTCACCAGCAACAGGTCCTCCTGGAGAAATCAGTCTGTGTTCCTCTCTCTCTCTCTCTCTCTCTCTCTCTCTCTCTCT